TATCCCACGTACCAAACGTCGCCGAAAAATTAATGTTTCTTCTCCCCTCCAATCTTTTACATCGAATTCTAGTGACGCACCACTTCAGAATTTGATTAAAAGCAACTAAAACACACTTTCGACCAAAAAATCTCCAAAATGTGACACAAGTTCCAGAATTTAATGCATCTAGGACATCTCTCCAGTCCGATATCCTGTAGTTGAGGAGATATGGAAAAAACGTCCTTCACCCGAGTCTAAAAATAATTTTCAATAAAAAATTTTTAAAAAGGCAAGGTTAAACGAATTCATTCATACAAAGGAGGTAGACCAAAGAGACACCGAGCTCAGGTAGGTTGTAAATATCAATTATAATTATAATAGCATTCTTAATTTTGAATTACTAATTGTTTTAGCTCAGTACAAAAATTATGCGACTACATAAAGGGGGCCGGAGAGTTTCCAGGGAAATAATTGATAATTTAAGGCATGGGGGTACATCCTTTGAACAGAGAAGAAGTCCTTTAAAAGAGTTGTCTAAACGGTTGTCGTTGCGCGGAATGCTGCGGGCTTTTAGTGATCACTTTATGCGTATGCACTGATACGAAAATATTAAATTTTCAATCGCAGTAATCTGCTAATGCAGGGATGCTAGGATTAGTAATGCAATCATCTTCAGGGATGTTTTCTATTAGTGTTGAAATTGTATCTGCGAGGAGTGTATAGTTAGTCCTTATATTGAAAACTAATCTATTAAACATAATTAAACACTTCGTGTACCGAATTTTATACGTTATCACCAGGTCGGTGATAATACATAACAATTGGCGTTTTTTCCCTTCTTAACCTTAACCAAAAACCTTTAAAATAGAATAAAATAATACCTTACTAACTAGCCAGCTAAATAAAAGATCGTTTAAAGGATATCTTCTTATATATATATATATATATATATATATATATATACACATCATTCTATCATTATTGCGTCCATACATTTACCAATTACGCACATTATTGCGTCCTTGGAACTATTGCGTCCGAATATCGGACGCAATAAAGGCATCGCCTGTATTTCCATGTTCCCGCCATTTTATCATTCAAATACTATCAACGAAGGATGCACCGGTTTAACAGATTGCTATAGCACAAACCAGTTTTGAGACATCTCTTGCCGTTTTCGAGATATTAAAAGATAATGAATTTTTAGTGGACGCAATAATAGTTGCAATTCGTACGAAGTTGTATATTTTTAGTTCAGCACTTTGCAGCTAGGGCGGTAAATTAGTATACGCTTTCAAGTATACGTTTTACAAAGTTGGTATATTATTGCGTCCAACATGTGGCAACACTGTAAGCTATTTATAGACATCATTTCGATAAGATAATCATCTTTTTATGTCTTAAATGAGGATAATTATTATACTCTCCATTCGGAAAGTACATTGTTGCGTCCAGATACGTTTAATTATATTGGAGCTGATCTCCAAAAATGTAACAATTCAAAAAATTCTATTCAATAAAATTGTTTAACATAAAAGGTGGTATTTGGTTATCAACAAATTAAATTTCACTTTTGAATATTTTTGGTCGATGGTTAACAGCTGACCCCCCCTTTAAGGGCTGTAAATATTAACTTGGCGAGGTTCAATTGAAACGTGACGTCTCTTATACTATTCCCATCATTTAAAAACACATTTTTACTACAAGCCTACACTTTAATTTTGTTGCATTATTCCATAACCCAGAGCTGATGTCCAAAAATGTAACAATTCAAAAAATTCTATTCAATAAAATGGTTTAACCTAAAAGGTGGTTGATGGTTAACAGCTGACCCCCATTTAATGGCTGTAAATATTAACTTGGCAAGGTTCAATTGAAACGTGAAGTCTCTTGTACTATTCCCACCATTTAAAAACAAATTTTTATTACAAGCGTACACTTTAATTTTTGTGCATTATTCCGTAACCCCGAGCTGATCTCCGAAAATGTAACAATTCAAAAAATTCTATTCAATAAAATGGTTTAACCTAAAAGGTGGTATTTGGTTATCAACAAATTAAATTTCACTTTTGAATATTTTTGGTTGATGGTTAACAGCTCACCCCCCTTTAATGGCTGTAAATATTAACTTGGCGAGGTTCAATTGAAACGTGACGTCTCTTAAACTATTCCCACCATTTAAAAACAAATTTTTACTACAAGCGTACACTTTAATTTTTTTGCATTATTCCGTAACCCAGAGCTGATGTCCAAAAATGTAACAATTCAAAAAATTCTATTCAATAAAATGGTTTAACCTAAAAGGTGGTACTTGGTTATCAACAAATTAAATTTCACTTTTGAATATTTTTGGTTGATGGTTAACAGCTGACCCCCCTTTAATGGCTGTAAATATTAACTTGGCGAGGTTCAATTGAAACGTGACGTCTCTTATACTATTCCCACCATTTAAAAACAAATTTTTATTACAAGCGTACACTTTAATTTTTTTGCATTATTCCGTAACCCAGAGCTGATGTCCAAAAATGTAACAATTCAAAAAATTCTATTCAATAAAATGGTTTAACCTAAAAGGTGGTATTTGGTTATCAACAAATTAAATTTCACTTTTGAATATTTTTGGTTGATGGTTAACAGCTGACCCCCCTTTAAGGCTGTAAATATTAACTTGGCGAGGTTCAATTGAAACGTGACGTCTCTTATACTATTCCAGCATTTAAAAACAAATTTTTACTACAAGCGTACACTTTATTTTTTTGCATTATTCCGTAACCCAGAGCTGATGTCCAAAAATGTAACAATTCAAAAAATTCTATTCAATAAAATGGTGTAACCTAAAAGGTGGTATTTGGTTATCAACAAATTAAATTTCACTTTTGAATATTTTTGGTTGATGGTTAACAGCTGACCCCCCTTTAATGGCTGTAAATATTAACTTGGCGAGGTTCAATTGAAACGTGACGTCTCTTATACTATTTCCAGCATTTAAAAACAAATTTTTACTACAAGCGTACACTTTTATTTTTTTTTGCATTATTCCGTAACCCAGAGCTGATGTCCAAAAATGTAACAATTCAAAAAATTCTATTCAATAAAATGGTGTAACCTAAAAGGTGGTATTTGGTTATCAACAAATTAAATTTCGCATTTGAATATGTTTGGTTGATGATTAACAGCTCACCCCCCTTTAATGGCTGTAAATATTAACTTGGCGAGGTTCAATTGAAACGTTGCGTCTCTTATACTATTCCCACCATTTAAAAACAAATTTTTACTACAAGCGTACACTTTTATTTTTTTTTTGCATTATTCCGTAACCCAGAGCTGATGTCCAAAAATGTAACAATTCAAAAAATTCTATTCAATAAAATGGTTTAACCTAAAAGGTGGTATTTGGTTATCAACAAATTAAATTTCACTTTTGAATATTTTTGGTTGATGGTTAACAGCTGACCCCCCTTTAATGGCTGTAAATATTAACTTGGCGAGGTTCAATTGAAACGTGACGTCTCTTATACTATTCCCACCATTTAAAAACAAATTTTTACTACAAGTGTACACTTTAATTTTTGTGCATTATTCCGTAACCCCGAGCTGATCTCCGAAAATGTAACAATTCAAAAAATTCTATTCAATAAAATGGTTTAACCTAAAAGGTTGTATTTGGTTATCAACAAATTAAATTTCGCTTTTGAATATTTTTGGTTGATGGTTAACAGCTGACCCCCCTTTAATGGCTGTAAATATTAACTTGGGGAGGTTCAATTGATACGTGACGTCTCTTATACTATTTCCAGCATTTAAAAACAAATTTTTACTACAAGCGTACACTTTTATTTTTTTTTGCATTATTCCGTAACCTCGAGCTGATCTGCGAAAATGTAAAAATTCAAAAGATTTTATTCAATAAAATTGTTTTATTTGTAGATAAGGTAAAAGTAAGTAATTATAGTAATAAATGAATGTTTTCTTATACGTGATCGATTTCGCTTTTATTTAGCATCTTCGGACCTTTATTAATTGACGCTAAGGTCCGAATATGCTAAATAAAAGCGAAATCGATCACCAATAACTTATAAGAAAACATTCATTTATTTATAATTATCTACTTCTACCTTACAAATTCAGTACAAGTAATTACAATAGAGACATACGTCGACAAAAACCAAAATCAAAATTTTATACTAAGTTCCACACCTTTACAAGGAAAAGCAATTGGACTCGTATAATTAAATTAATTCCTGCCGGATCAACGTCCTCTTGAATATGTGATTAGACGAGGAATGACTGAGCATTAACATTGGCAACATTGCAGGACGCAATAATATACGGCGAAATGCATATACGGGTGTGACAATGGCGCATATGAAAGGACGCACGAATGATTCAATATGGCTGAAAATTCGTATATCGAAATACTGGGAATTTTTGAAATCTGGTTAGGATTCTAGACACGACATACGATTCCAAACCAACATTCACGGCAATAGTTTAAGAATTCCTATCCGTTCTAGGAGACGCAATAAAGTACAAATACGTGCGGACGCAATAATGATAGCGGGATGTATATATATATATATGTATATAGACATAATATGTCGGTTATATTATAACCCCGATATCCTATGCCCAAAATGCAATATAGGGCAGATATACCATGCCCGAGACCGCCATACCAAGCCCGGCTTCGGGCATGGTATGGATTCCTATGTAAAAATTATAACAGCGACTGCCATCTGCGTGAGCACTTAGGTACTCGAATTTCCTGTGGGCATGGTATATCCCCCCAAAGTCTACAAAATATATGAATTTAGTTCATGCAAATTGACTGATGGGGGCGCTCCAAACGTATCCGTATATATTACATATATGTTATAGAAGTTCGGCCTACTGTACCAAGCCCAGTAGATACATTCGAATATTACAAGCCCGATGATATTGCAACATTGGCGTCTGCATTTTCGCTACGTACGGGCTTAGTACATCTGCTGTTTGATTTTATCATTTATATTGGCAAGTTACGTGCAACAGTAAGCATGAAGCGCTCAAAGCTATTATTACAATTAGCGTTGGTAAACAATACAGGTAAGCGAAATAATAAAATAAACTCCATATTTTGAAAGTAAAAAGTGCATTTGTAATTAGAAAAAAATGAGGCGATTTCCGTTATCAGCGGTGAAACTATTTCTAATTTGGAAGAAACCGCTGCTGGGTTGGAAGAGAATCAGAATATAGGTAAGTCAATATTTACTGCCATACTTAGTTCTTACATAATGCATTTAGAGAGACCTGATAAGATAACGCGGCCAGAAGAATCTGCAGGTGCGTCATCAGTATCAAGTATAGTACCTGAGACTGCGTCTTTTCCTTCTAGCGTAAGCATTCGATTTTATTTTTTTTATTTCCTGAAAAAAAAGAGGTACCTAATTCCACATTTCAATTTAATTTTAGTCAAATAGTGTTTGTGGTTGACACTATTTCTAAGTGCAGGTAACATTTCATTTCACTTTGGCCGGCTGGCAGCAAAAAGAACGCTTGTAGAAAGGCGAAGAGTGTACGACGTACGTGTACCTACCGGGCTGTGTAATTAACCACATTAGGGATGGGCCTACAGGGTGTATCCCCGAGCGTGATTTATTAACGTGGTGATTTTTCTGTTTTATCCTATCTTCTACAGTTTTGGTGAAATTAATTGTTTTCAACTTGGTATGTGGTTGGAAAAATCGCGCAACAACTCTTGTGTGGCAGAATTTTATCTTTTTTGTTAGGGGCAAAATGAACCATCTTTTGCAAGGCGCGAGTCTTAAAGAAGTCGATTTCAGGCGCTCAAAGGTTACCTCCCGCTGTGAATTTGGTTACGGGGTTTAAAGTCTCTCTCCTTCTTGTGCTATGAGAAGTGTCCCAAAAATTGACTACTATGTTGTGGACAGATTTCAGCTAAATCCACCAAAATGGCGCATTCAAATAACTCTGTGGCGGCGTCAAAAGTGGGTACTGACAAAGAAAATGTGGTAGCTTTGACAAGATCTTACTGATGGTGGGGTCAACACTTCAGACCCGAATTGCAGGTGAAAGGGGCGTGGGAAGTGGGTACCAACAAAGGGAAAGTGGCAGCCTCCGATAAGATCTTACTCGTGGCGGGGTCAAAACTTTAATTGCGAATTGCGGGTATTAGTGACGTCGGAAATGGATACCGGCAAAGGGAATGTGATAGCCTCCGACAAAATCTTACTGCTGGTTGAGTCAAAACTTCAAATGTGAATTGCGGGTAAAAGTGACGTCGGAAATGGGTACCGACAAAGAGAATGTGGTAGTTTCCGACAAGATCTTACTGATGGTGAGGTTAAAACTACAAACGCAAATTGAGGGCGAACGGGGCGTCGGAACTGGGTACCGACAAAGACAAACTGGAGGTCTTCGACGAGATCTCTTAGGTGGTAGGGCTAAAACTTAAAACGCGAATTGAAGGTGAAAGCCAATGCTTCAAATGCGATTTGTGGGTGAACGGAACGTCGGAAGTGGGTACCGATAAAGACAAACTGGAGATCCTCGACGAGATCTCTTAGGTGGTAGGGCTAAAACTTAAAACGCGAATTGAGGGTGAACGGGACTTGGGAAGTGGATACCAACAAAGGGAATGTGGTAGCCTCCTACAAGGTCTTACGGATGCTGAGGTCAAACTTCAAACGCAAACTGCGGGTGAAAGTAGCGTCGGAAATGGGTACCGGGTAAGGGACTGTGGTAGCTTCCGATAAGGTGTTAGTGATGGTGGGGACCAAATTTCAACTTGAATCGTAGGTGCAAGGAACGTGGGAAGTGGGTACCAACAAAGAAAATGTGGTAGCCTCCGACAAGATCTTACTGATGGTGGGGCCAACATTTCAAACGCGAATTGCGGGTGAAAGTGACTTCGGAAATAGGTAATGACAAAGGGAATATGGTAGCCTCCGACGAGATCTTACTGCTGGTGGGGTCAAAACTTCAAATGCGAGTTGCGGGTAAAAGTGACGTCGGAAATGGGTACCGACAAAGAGAATGTGGTAGTTTCCGACAAGATCTTACTGATGGTGGGGTCAAAACTACAAACGCGAATTGCGGGTGAACGGGACGTCGGAAGTGGGTACCGATAAAGAAAATGTGCTACTATCCGACAAGATCTTACTAATGGTGGGGTCAAAATTTCAAAAGTGACTTGCAGGTGAAAGGGACGTGGGTACCAACAAAGAAAATGTGGTAGCCTCCGACAAGATCTTACTGATGGTGGGGCCAACATTTCAAACGCGAATTGCGGGTGAAAGTGACTTCGGAAATAGGTAATGACAAAGGGAATGTGGTAGCCTCCGACAAGATCTTACTGATGGTGGATTTAAAACTTCCGACACTATTTACTAGCGAACGGAGCGTCGGAAGTATGTAGTTTACTTGTGGTGCTGCGTGTTTTTAATAGTTTTCACTACCTAGCAGCAAAGAATCATTTGCACGGAAAAATAATTCTTTCAAGTAGTTTTTTATACTTCGTTTTTATTAGTCAACATTCTTTGGCAAAGTAACTAAAATTAGATTTTAATTTGATGGATAAAATAAACTCTCAACCGTTTTATTTAATAGGTCATTTAAAAATTATTGAAATGAGCAGCGACTATAGTTTCGACAAAAGTCATTATCAAGCTGGAATATTGAAACACTGACTAATTGACCTTTAGAGTACATACCTTAAACAACGTATGAAAACATCAAATAACGAACAGACTAGTGGGTTACAATTTAAAATTACATTTTTTGAAACCAGTATGAGAAAAATTCTCACTACCTTTCCTCCTTTCCTCATACTGATTCCAAAAAATTTTAAATTGTAACCCACTAGTCTGTTCGTTATTTAATGTTCTCATAAGTTGTTTAAGGTATGTACTCTAATGTTAAGGTCAATTAGTCAGTGTTTCAATTTTCCAGCTTGATAATAACTTTTGTAGAAACTCAAAACTGCTCATTTAAATAATTTTTAAATGATCTGTTAAATAAAATGAAGTATGGGGAAGGTTTAGAGTTCATTTTATCCATCAAGTTACACTCTTGAGTTTTTCCAACTATATGGATACTTACCTGCAATCATTAGATTTTAATAATAATAATTTTTTATGGTCTATTTTAAGGAACGGGAACCCTTTAGTGAATCGGCGTCAGAATATGTTCCATCGCTCTCAAAATCTTCGTTAAGTGAAAGCACCGCAGGATCTTTATCTTCGTGCCTGAGTGTTTGTGCGGTACGTATTTACACCACTGTTAACTTTGTATGTGCAGGTGCACAGAGTGTACCAATTGCTAGAAATCAGTTCTCTATTCCACGCGCGCGTATACTACACACTAACACGCCTAAGTGCTTTAAAGTGGTATTTATTATGTTACATTCCGATGCCATTCCCCAATTTCCACAAGATGCCGAAACAATTGCGCAGATCGGGATACGTGTAAATACTTCTATTAGTTTTGAATTACAAACCTACAAAAATCTATAATATATATAAGAACCTAGGTCTTTAGGATCCAAAACCTAATCTTTCTTGAACAACTTGCGATATGCGTAATTACTTCGGTACCGGAAACTTTATGAAATATAAAAAGGTTGAGACTCATTTCTTTGTAGAAACGTTACAAGGGGTTGTCTACCGTATACCATGCACATGCACACATTAGTGACAAAACTAAAGATGTTATTTTTCTAATATTTTGAAATTCACCTTTCAGAATTGTTGTACTTATGTTATTACGCTTTTAGCCAATTACCGCAATATTAGACGAACCCGCGGAACCATGCACCTCAAAAGTGACACGATATTTGGACAATTTGGTTTCTCATCAGTCAACTCAAGGCGTTCCAGAACCGGTTCTTGAGCATCCGGTAATTGATATCTCATAATTTATATCTAAACCATAAGACCTTTACTACACAAAATTCTTGACTTCAAAAATTCCTTCTCTTAACTATTTATAGGAGTGAATTTCCAAAAGTCAATACTTACCTCTTTACACCCAATCAGTTTTAGAACTCAGATTTATTAAAGTTAGTACGTGGTTTTAGGACAAAGAAAACCGTTACGTAAAATCGGCACCTACTCAAGAGCGAGCTACACTTTGTCCAATTTGCTATAAGGATGTTGACACACATTTCTCTCGCCACTTATTGCGACACCATAAAGATCACCAACAAGTTCAACTAATGGCTAAGTTAAAACCCAAAAGTAAGGAACGTCGAAGCATTGTTACAGCCTTACGAAAGCAAGGCTACTTTCATTTGAAAACGGAAAAGGATAAATTAAACCCAGTAAAATCTTCAAAAGATACTGCGACGAAGTATTTTGTATGTGTACATTGCTTAGGATATTACGCAAAAAATTCATTATATAAACATGTAAAAAGATGTACGCGTAGACCTGTCGACCAAGGAAAACCTAAAAGTTGGTTAGCAGAATCGCAATCCTTCTCAGCTTTGGTTAAACTAAAAAATGACAAGCTTCTGAAATCTTTACGTATAAGGGAAGAAGTTTTTTCTGTTATGAAACCGGATGAAATAAGCCATACAGCTAAAAGCGATCCCTTAATTATACTTTACGGAGAGCATTTAATAAGCAAGCACAAAAGACAACAAATCGCTGTAGTAGTATCTAACAAAATCCGGGAGATGGGGCGATTACTGTTGGCTTTAAAAGAGTTTAATCCACGATTGGAATCCCTGTTTAGTTATTTAAAACCGAATATGTTTGAATTTTTCGTAGCTGCAACAAAAAAGATTAGTGGTTATAACGAAACAAACAAAAGTTTCCAATCGCCATCCCTTGCGTTACACATGGGTACCTCTTTAAAGATCCTTTGCGATGTTGCCTTCAAAATAGTTTTAGAAAACCGACAAGTTAATCATATTACGTGGAGCAACCGGCAAGAGAAAAAAGCCGAGATAAAAGATCTTAAAAAATTAATAGAATCCCATTGGTGTAGTGAACTTTCAAGCTTAGCGTTAAAGTCTCTGCAAGAAAAACAGTGGCAAAAGCCAATCAGACTACCTCTAACAAGCGACATACAATTATTCCAGCAATTTTTAACCACACGGGCAAGTGAAGCGTTTACAAAATTAAAAGAAATGAAGGACCACGTATCCAGTTACAGAACTTTAACACAGTGTGTTTTGGCACAAACTGTTATCTTCAATCGTAAGCGCATCGGGGATGTGCAATATTTAAAGATTGATACATACAACAGCAACTGTAACACTACAAACAATGAAAGTTTTGTAGAATCATTATCAGACGTTGAAAAAGTGATTTACAAAAAATTTAAAAGAGTGGTTACAGGCGGTAAAGGATCTAAACCTGTGCCCGTCCTATTTTCAAAACAAATGCAAAAATATATAGAGTTGTTGCTAACGATAAGAAAAGAAACTAGTATTGTTCCACATACTAATCCGTATTTATTCGCCAATCCACAATCAAAGGATAGGTGGATGTCGGGGGTTAATGTTTTACGAAATTTGGCAAAAGACTGTGGAGCGAAACATCCAGAATTATTAACCTCTACGAAATTTCGGAAGCATATTGCGACAACTCTTCAATTGTTAAATATGGATAGCGATGAAGTAGAGCAAATTGCAAAATTTATGGGCCACACCCAAAAAACTCACGCAGAGTTCTACAGGTAACTGTCTCATTCAATGTAAAAATGAAACTTGTGGCAAATCTGGAATCGAATTTAATGATGGCAGATGAGTCACACAGTCAATTTCACTCTCAATAGAAAGTGTGTCCACGAATTTGGTGGGACGAAGGGGGGGGGGGGCAAAAAAGAGAAACCATTTATATTTTTATTTTTAGCAAAGCACGTCATTTATTTTATATTTTGAGTTAATTCCTATGTTTACAAGCAACACTTTCTATCAACAATGACATTTTTCGCTCAAAATAAAAATACGAAAGGTTTCTGCTCTTGAGCACCTCCATTCGTGGACGCACTGTATACTTTCATCAAACGTCTCAAAAACATTTGGTGCCTGCAAATTGATTTCGAAGTTTGATTTCGTTTATAGGTTCAACAGTAAATAACCCTTGATCCTATAAACATCTTACAATCAAATCGGAAGTAAATGGTGTACCATTAGCGTTTGATGGAAATGATTGGGCAACGATTTAGTTTTCCGTAATGTTTTAAACGTGCTTGTTTAGGTTACCTCAGGATATATATCAAACGGCAAAGGTTGCAAAAATTTTGCTACTTCTGGAAAAAGGCAGAGGAAAGGAGTTCAAGGGGAAGCGATTGGAAGATATTAATATAAATACCGATGTGTACTATAGTTCAGAAGCAGAAGACGACGGAACTGATGATCTGCCATTATCACAACGAGTTATCAACAAAATTTCTGTCGGAATTGATATGCCTTTAAATACCGAAGAGAATTTACCCTTAGATATAACGGAAAAGAGAACAGCTATCGAACAAGCTTCTAATTTTGATGAACAAGTTGCTGATACCGAACCAATCCTCTCCCACGCATCATGGAGTGAAGAAAACCTACCTTTAGATGTCCAAACTGAAATGAACTTACAAACGGAAGAACCGTCACAAGCTGGGATTGTAGAGGACAACCAGTTGTCAGAAAGGCCTTCGAAGAAATCGAAAGGTATATTCATCGCCGTTTTATTTTCACTTACATATTTTCTTTTAGGAGTATCGGATCGTAAACGTTGGTCAGAAATAGAGAAAAAGCTAGTTTTAAAACATTTCTCTAATCACATAAAACGTAAAATAACTCCAAAAAAAGGAGAATGTACTGAATTTCTTAAACAAAATGCTAATGTTCTTATCGATAAGGATTGGGTTAGAGTAAAAACGTTCGTTTACAATTCATTTAGAAAAAATTAAACATAACACTCATATTATACATTTATTGTTTACCTTTACAGTTTCTTTTTTTACAAAAACAGAATTGTATTTTTTATTTTATGCACATATTTCTAAAAAATTAAACTTCTTCATGCACTCTCCGCCGCTTTTCTTGTTTAAGCCTCATTTCCCTAAAAGAAGCTCAATAATTAAACGTTAAAATAAAAGTAGCGCGTATACTTACCTATCTGATCGCCCGTAGGTAAAATGGCTTTCCACTTTCTCCCTGTGCGCATGTAGTTACCTAAAACTATGAGTAAACAAACATTAAAATTAATTGTAAGGATCCTTAGCTATTTATCTCGAGTCATTTGGTATAAAATGCTATTCCATCTTTTTCGTAAGTCCATATAGGTATTTACCTAGATTTTAGATAAAAATAGAATCTGAAAACATGAAAAACGAAAGGCTGAAAAATAAATCACTCCTGTACATACCTTCGAACTCAAGTCATTTGGTATAAAATATCCCATCTTTTTAGTAAGTGCGTATAAGTATTTACCTAGATTTTAGATAAAAAATTTAATTTCTGAAAATATGAAAAACGAAAGGCTGAAAAATAAATCACTCCTGTACTTACCTTCGAACTCGAATCATTTGGTATAAAATATTATCTCATCTTTTTCGTAAGTGCGTATAGGTATTTACCTAGATTTTAGATAAAAAAATGAATTTCTGAAAACTTTAAAAACGCAAGGCTGAAACATGAATCACTCCTGTACTTACCTTTAAATATTTGTTGAGTAAACGGTTATAAAAAAAAACCTAGAAATATTACGGAGAGCACAGTAAATATCAAGCGAAGCAACATAACTTCAAAATATTTTTTAATTTTTGAATGTGGTAACCTAATTTTAGACTCTGCGAATGCTTAATATCCACATTTTAAAATCGATATTAGTTTTACTTTTTTTTTTTAAATACCTACATATGAAAAATTGTAAAATATGGGTATGCACGGGAATTTTGCACCAAGTCCTTTCACATGAGTCCCATATCGGCGAAATCGGTTTAGTATTGTAGAAGTTGTACGTGTGACTTTGAAGAAAATACGCTAAAAAGGAGATGAATAATGACAGAACCTCGGCAACAGCGCAGGGCTTGATATAGTAGACTACACATATACAACATACACAAACGGGACTGACAAGTCTGACTACTGTAATGGTCGTGGTATAGATATAAAGACAAAGCATATGAAGTATGTTAAAAATTCTTACCCCTCTAAGGGTGCTCCTACTAGTATGTTATTTATTATAGAATATATACAATAAATAAAACGGTACGATCAACAAAAAGGCAGGGCGTGGAGTTGCCTGCCATATGTAGCGGGCTTGGCATGGTGCGAGGAGCACGTAATATATATATATATATATATAGTCCTCCATCGTGGGTTTTTATTTCCGATAATTTAATCAAAGAGATTGTTTGTAGCTGTTGACCTGTTGCTAGGGTCAGTAGGGTAACCAATTTGCGCGAGAGATGTTTTAAGGAGTCTCCGAGTCTGTTCTCAAGGTAGTCTAGTACCCGTGTTGGATCCCACGTGAAATTATATCGGGGTTTGGGAGGTCTTGCTCGTGCGATGCCCTTCATGAACCTTTTGAATAAGGAATCTTCTCCTATATTGCCAGGTGATATCAAGGAGAGTGCCGCTCGATGGGAATTGAAAGAACCATATTTGTTGTCACTTTGGCCTAGCAAGTTTTGAAAAAAGGTAATGACTTGCCCTTTGTCTGCTTTAAAGGGGCTGATGTCGTGTTGATCGCAGAATGTCCACCAAAGCTTATACGTAGACCCATATTGTTTAATAGTAGCTTCAGTTAGGGATCGCACTGTTGTAGTGATAGCACACTCTGGGACACCTTTCGCTATCAATGCTTCCCGGATAACTTGCAAGCCACCAAGATAAGGCTGTTTGCGAGGGGATGACGATTCCGGCTGTAAGGGGAGATCATTAGCTGGTTGCTGGGTTCAAAATAAATAGGCTCTGCGACCTAAAAGTTTTGAGAAGCGGATAACCAAGCTTGTGACGGCCAGAAAGGGATACCTTCAGCCTTATCCTTTATTACTTTTTTGCAACACTCGAAGAATAAGAGAGAATGGAGGAAAAGCATAAAACAACATATTTCCCCAAACGACAGTAAAGGCATCGGACTCGATTGCCCCAGGGTCTCTCAGCCAAGAGATGTAATTTTGGCAATTGTGGTTATCTTAGACTTTTTGAGTATAAATAACATTGTGTGGAGACAACGCTAATCAAATTTGGTTCTACAACAATTACATACTATTGTATTATTATCTACCTCGCTTGAAACAATCGTTAATTTTCTTAACTGTTGCCGTTTCGATATCACCCACAGATTAAACATGAACCAAAAAACCATCTCGACACTATGGATGATTTCCAATGTTTTTCACCAGCAGCACGAATACGCCCTAATGTGGGAAGTATATACAGTTTTATGGCATGTTTTCAGTCTGAAAATGAAATTAACAACCACTATGTGTACATTTTTTTACTTTACCTGTACTTATATTCTCCTGCAGAAGGTTGTACACGGATTCATCAGTAGGTGGAAAATAAGGTCTTCTTTTAGTTATAATACTTTCGAGCAAATCTTCAAATATAACCTCTATATCACTTGATGGCGCATCTGGGAATGTTTTTTTAAAGTCTCGTGCTACATTGCAATACTCTGTTTGTTGTTCTATTGCTGTTTAATGGAATTTTATTTGGGCAGTAAAGTACCTACCGTAATGCTCCTGGCAAACAAGCGCTGCACGAGCGGATATCTCTTTCTCACAGGACCTGTTAGAATAATTAAGTAATTTTAAGAAACTTCGATATTTAATTTATGTTGTCCATATGTTTTTTCGTGCTATCTTAATATTTAGTTTCGGTCTCGAAGAAAACCACTGCCTTGTCACCCTAACTTCACAATTTATGTTTCCGAATGCGTGACCAGGTGGACCATAAACACATGGCCACATTACATGGGGTTTTCGAGGATATTAATTTAGGGCAGCTTTTAAGAAGTCGCATTCTGAACCGCGCCGGAATCGGTCGTTTAGCAAATAATGTAAAATTAAGGTTTATACATATTTTAATTTAATTATTCTTGTTATTCAAATTCAATAAAATTATTATCGTTGGTTACGAAACAACCTGATCCTTCGTTCGAAGTCGGAGATCGATCCAAGATCTCAAACAGGACCAGTGGGCTAATAATTAATAATAAATCTAACTCGAACTAACATATATTACCTACAATAAAATTAATGCTACTATAAAATTTACAATAATTTAAGACACCCTGCCTACACAAGAAAAAGAAGAGAGGCAAATGAGTGTACACTCTACTGTCGTAATGTCAAAACGGAATAGACCACTGAGTCTATAAACGCACTTGAGCCCGTTTACAAAAATGTGGAGCGCCTACCTTTTTGATGCCGATGCCGTCTCCTTTGCGTTGAGCAGATTGAGCTCCTGGTTGTACCTTTTAACGAAACTGTGGCGAAACCACTCACTCAGTTGCGCGCACTGGTACTTTAAGGGCGTTTGGCCACAAGACGGTAACGGCACAATTTGACGCCGCATCCGCTGAGTGCTCGCCCACTTGCGAATCAGTTTAGATTAATATTCCGTGTTGCCAGATTGATTTTAGTCAGTTGGTGCTGTAAGCTTCGAAGTGATGGATCGAAGGAAATTAATTTTACTAGCGATGGTTTTACGTAGGCGCCGAAGAAGGCAAGCTATCCAGACTCTAAGGCAATATTGGGTCCATCCCATTTTGAGGGTCAGATATGTGGAAGGGACGTTTTATACAGGGTGACTTACGGGAAACGGATGTTTTTGAAATGAGCAGTACACAATTAATTTACAAGATACTATTATTTTATTGTTACACAAATAAAGATTATTACATACCATTTCATGAAAAAGTTACTTTTTAAAAATTACATCAGTCATGTGGTGCCCATCTGCTTCAATACAGGTTTCCAGCCTCTGTTGAAAATCATTGGAAACTCGGGTCAACATGTCTTGATCAATCAAATTCACCTCTTCTGTAATTGCGTCTTTTAAGTCCAATAAATTACGGGGTTTGTGAGCATACACACGTTCTTTCAAATACCCCCACAAGAAGTAATCACAGTAGGACAAGTCCGGTGACCTTGGCGGCCACGGTACGTCACCAAAACGTGAAATCAGCTTTCCAGGAAACATGTTTCTCACAACTTCCATTGATGCGCGAGCAGTGTGCGCCGTGGCGCCATCTTGCTGGAAATAAACATTATTCACGTTGAATCCTTGCCTCTGAAGGTATGGCCTCAAAAATGTATTCAACATGTGAACGTAGCGTTGTGATGTCACTGTCACCGTCACGCCATTTTCCTGAAAAAAATACGCCCCAATAACTCCAAACTTGGCTACCGCACACCAAACTATAACTTTTGGAGAGTGGAGAGGTTTTTCATGAATGTTACAGGGATTTTCAGTAGCCCAGTAACGAAAGTTATGTTTGTTTACCAAACCGTTCAAATGAAAATGGACTTCGTCGCTCATTAACAGTACTGCATTACGATTACCATTAAACAACAGTTGCATACGCTCTGCGAATTCTTTTCTTTGTTGATAATCCGCCACGTTGAGTTGCTGGACCACCTGCATGTTATACGGATGAAATTTCAAATCAAGTCGTAAAATCCTCCTCACAGAATCACGACTCATGTTTAGTTCTCGTGCATGTTGGCGTGCAGATCGACTCGGACTCCTGATTATTGCAGCCCTCACACTGGCGATGTTTTCAGGCGTCCTTTCTGTTCTTGCAGGGCCTGGTAGCTTTTTCTTGGATATTGTCCCCGTTGTTCTGAATGCCTTAACTCACCTTAACAAAGTGTCTCGACTTGGCACTGTGCCGTTCCGACCGATATTGAAGTGGCGACGAAATATTCGTTGTGTGGTTATAACAGACTCGCCATTTCGAACAAACGTATCGTACGCAAAAACACGATGCTCCGTCGTCCACTGCTCCATTGCTACTGAAATGGTAAGCTGCAATGGAGTGAATGACCTACCGTCCGTCGCCCCACCACTTAACGAAGGCATGCACTAGCCATTTCAAAAACATCCGTCTCCCGTAAGTCACCCTGTACATTATT